TCTGTCATTTATGTAGTGATTTTAGGTAGTAAGTAAAAATAGACGTTTTTTTGGGAGAAATGCTTAAAAGATACATATGAGCAATATCACACTTGTAGCAGAGAGACATGGCTGTATATTTGCACTGGTGAGAGGTGAGCGTTGCCTTAGTGTCCCACCAGTAACGATATACAGCCATATCGCACTGCTACTCGTGTGATATTGGATTTTTACAACAGTTTGACGGCATAATCCTGTATTTAAAAAAGAAAATCAATCACAGATAGTCTAAAAATCTTTTTGTATGAGGAACTACTTTCTTCCTCCATTCATTCACATCTGCAGCTGATGTCAGAACAGCAGAAACCGTTGCTACTTCAATGTCACTTTAGAGCTAGTGTTTGAATGATTCTCTAGTGTAATGTCTAAAGTGAGGACAAAACAGCTGATTTTGCTCATATTTTAAGATTATGAGGCTGAACGGCATGATATGCCATCAGTCTAGAGACATATCCTAGGATTTCTCTGATGCAATCAGGAGATTACAATATTTAACCCCGAAAAAGTCAAAGCAAACACCACCTGACTATGGTATGAATACAGAACTGCAAAATACAAAGGAGAGAGATCCACTTGACATTTGAGTTTTTCTCCTCTAAGGACTTATTATGTGGTCTCTGTCGCCATCTTGTGGCGGAACGTCAACCATCTTTGCTCTGCTCAGTATGACAGGCTGATAGATGCCAACGTGCTGAATCTCTAAAATTATAAATCCTTAAAATAGGCACTATCTTTATAAATAAACTGCATAGTTGCAATCCAAACAACAACATTCTCGACTAAAAAAAGCCTCAAAAGTACATTATGTTACATTACATTAAAAGCTGCAATATTTGTCAAACTGTAGTGATATTGTTTATTGATCTGCTGTCACACTATGTGGGCGAAGTATTACAGAAGGGTGAAGAGGCTGTACTAGCGCTGTTATTGAATATCGCACAGCTATCAGATTTGAGAACAAGACAGAACCGTTTTATAAATATAGATATTTATATGTATCTCTCTCTCTCTCTCTCTCTCTCTCTCTCTCTCTCTCTCTCTCTCTCTCTCTCTCTCTCTATATATATATATATATATATATATATATATATACAGTTGAAGTCAGAATTAGCCCCCTTTTTAATATTTTTCTTCTTTTTTAAAGATTTACCAAACGATGTTTAACAGATTTAGGAAATTTTCAGTGTGTCTGATAATATTTTTTCCTCTGGAGAAAGTCTTATTTGTTTTATTTCGGCTAGAATAAAAGCAGTTTTAATTTTTTTAAACAACATTTTAAGGTCAATATTATTAGCCCCTTTAAGATATTTTTTTTTCAATAGTCTACAGAACAAACCATCGATATCGATAACATCATTTGGGAAATATTTAAATTAAGTAGCACAATATCCTGGCATTGTGACATTAAACACATGAAAACATCTGAGTGTTCATCACAAATCTTTACTTGGTTTGGTTTGAAGCCATACTGCGTACATCAGGCAATCCTCCAGACAAAAACAAAAGATCAAAATAAAAACCATGAAATAAAATCCTATAAACATACACTTATACATATAAAAAGAAGATATATTAACGCATAGGATTGTTTTACCTGCAAACACGGCAAAGGTTTGCATGAGTCTGTGTTTTCTTTTTGTTCTTTCTCGCTCTTTTTGTTTTTTGTAAAATTATAAAACTTATAAACGCAAAATGTACACTTAGTCTTTGAGATGAGCTCCAGCAAACAGCTCAGAGAGAGTTAAGGCCTATAGACGGGAAACTGTGCGATAACAGTCATTATGATGTCATCATTCCTTTTGAGAAGTCGACCAATCAGACTTGACGGTGCAGGTCATCTGATCCAAACAGGTCCAACTTTAGCTGGAAATAAAAGTACGCAAGTTTGTAGCTTCCTAATCTTTAAGTAGAGTCTGTGGAGTGTAAGATTTCAGCAAGACATTTGTGGCATCCGTAGTCTTTGAAAGCATATATATATAAGTAGTAGATTTCATATATGACCTTTTTGGCATGTACATTTACATAGTCGATAACTCATCTGGCACATTCATAAACAGTCAACTCTTCCCTGGCTGGAAGTAAAATAACGCACAGATCACATATTGCTTGTTATTTCTACGCATTCCCATAATGCCACTGCTTTAACATAGGCACTCACAACAACAACAACACCGCTGTCATTTGCATGCCCTCCGTGCCCGTAGGGGGCAGCAAAACATCAATGACTTGACCTTGCAAAATGTGTGTGTAGGAGAATGTTTAAAGTGAGTGCATCAACACAATCGCATGGCAATTCATAGCTAGTTTACGTTTTCTGCAAATTAGCCACGAATTCATAGGAATTTGTACGATCTCATGCGATGTTTTCAATTATTATATAGTTTTGGGTGGGGCTTTATAATAAACATTACGCTGTTGATTTGATGACATTCAGGTTATTAAATGAACTTTTGTGAATGTTATGTTTGCCAAGTTAACGAATATTAAAATAAAAAAATAAGTTTTTGTTTCATATTACTAATATGTAAATATAAAAAAATGCTTGTATTTGTATCTTTTGTGACCGTAATGTTATAAAAAGTGTGTCATGTTAAAAATATTACGCTTTTGTACAATTAAGTGTCAATTATGTTTAAGTGTGGGACTAAGTTAAAAATTGTATTCGTTCAATTTTATGACGTTATGTTTACGGTTAGCCTTCATGCTTAAAATAAATTAATAAATAATTAAACCAATTGCACATTTTTGAATTATTTTTAAATAGTAAAGGCACATCGCTAAATCACAAAATCAAGTCGCATATTTTGATATGATTTTGCTAGGGTTATGTTTAGATGCGCGCAGTCAAAATTTCACATTTTTTTGACGGCTTGATTAGACATCGACCTTCATGCTAAATTTTATGTTTTGTTTCGTATTGCTTTTAAAAAAATGTAAACATAAAAAACTGCTTGTTTTTGTATCATTTTGTGACCGTAGTGCATTAACGCAGGTCGTCATGTTATAGTTCTAACGTTTTAGTACAATTTAGTGTCTTTATGTTTAAGTGTGGGAATTTCATGGCATTATGCTTTGGGACAGCCTTCAAGGCTAAAATAAATAATTGAATAAATAATTAAACCATTTGCATATTTTTTGAATGACTTTGTTATTGTTATGTTTAGATACGCACAGTCAAAATGTCCATTTCTGTTCGATTCTATGACGTCATGTTTAGAGATGAACCGTCATGCTAAAAACTGACCTTTTGTCGATGTTATGTTAGCTAAGTAAATTAATGTTAAGCTAAAAATTACTTGTTTTGTGTCAAATTGTGATGGAATCATGTTAAAAATATTTCGCTTTGTACTATTTTGTGTCTGTTATGTTTAAGTGTGGGCCTTTACGTAAAAAAATGTACGTTTTTATTCGATTTTATGACATTATGTTTAGGGACAGACTTCATGCTTAAAACAAATTAATAAAAAAACAATAATTGCATGATTTTGTATAATTTTGTTATAGTTATGTTGAGTTTGACTTTTAGTATATTAGTAGCAGCCTTCAAGCTTTTTTTTTGACAGTAAAGTCAAAAGAAGGACAGTAAAGAAAAGGACAGTAAAGAGGGACAGTAAAGATGGTCCTTCATGCTAAAAATTGTCTGGAGGTTTGTAAATTATTTTAATACGTGGGCCTTCATGCTAAAAATATTTAATTTTTATGTGATTTTGTGACTTACGTTTAGCATCAGCCTTCACACTATTCTTTTGATGGTAAAGTTAAATGGTCCATCATGGTAAAATAGTACAATGGTTAAATGTACCATTTAATTGTGGGCTTTCAGGCAAAAAAATAATTAAATCACACAAAAGTTTGGTACAAAAAAGATCGTATAAATTCATATGAATTGAATTTACTCCATAAAACATAAAACAGTTACGTTTAACCACCAAATCAAGTGTGTGTATGAGTGTATGTGAGTTTCCAGGGACAGATGGCCCTTTACGGTCCGCAACTTCTCTTCAAAAGGACAAGAAACGAATGCATTAATTGTACAATGGTTTGTAAATTATAAATCCTTTTGTAATGTGGGCCTTCATGCCAAACATATAAGGTTTTCGTGTGATTTTGTGACTTGATTAGTAACAACCTTCAAACTATTTTAGGATGGTAAAGTTAGATGCTTATTTATGCAAAAAATTGTACGGTGGATTGTAAATTATTTAGAAACGTGGGCCTTGATGCTAAAAACAACATTTTCATGTGATTTTGTGACTTGCGTTTAGTAGCAGACTTCAAACTAGTCTTTTGATAGTAAAGTTAGTTGGTCCGTCATGCTAAAAAATTGTACGGTGGATTGTAAATGATTTTGAAACATGGGCCTTGACGCTAAAAACAAAACATTTTCATGTGATTTCGTGACTTGCGTTTAGTAGCAGACTTCATTATATTAATTTGATGGTAAAGTTAGATGGTCCGTCATGCTAATAAATTTACGATGGTTAAATGTACCATTTAAACTTGGGCATTCATGATGAAAATATCACAAAATTTTGATGTAAATCAGATCGTATCAATTAGGATTAATTTATAATAACTCACCAAAACATAAAATAACCACCAGATCGAGTGTGTGTATCAGTGTATGTGTGTTTACAGGGACAGACGGCACTTTACAGTCCGCAACTTTCCTTCAAATGGACAAGAAACAAACGCATTAATTATAGAATGGTTCGTCAATTATAAATGGTTTTAAAACATGGGCCTTCATGCTAAAAATATAATGTTTTCATGTGGTTTTGTGACTTAATGATTAGTAGTAGCCTTCATACTATTTTTTTGACAGTAAACTTTGATGGATCTTAATGCAAAACAATTGCACAATGGTTTGTAAAGTATAAATGGTTCTGAAACGTGGGCCTTCATGCTAAAAATATTGTTTATGTGGTATTGTGACTTATGTTTGGTAGCAGCCTTCTTACTTTTTTTTTTTTGCAGTAAAGTTAGATGGTCCGTCATGCTAAAAATTGTACGCTGGATTGTAAATTATTTAGAAACGTGGGCCTTCATGATAAAAACGAAACATTTTTATGTGATTTTGTGACCTGCGCTTAGTAGCAGACTTCATTATATTTATTTGATGGTAAAGTTAGATGGTCCGTCATGCTAAAATAATTACGATGATTAAATGTACCATTTAAACGTGGGCATTCATGATGAAAATCAGACAAAAGTTTGGTACAAATGAGATCGTATGAATTCATATGAATAGGTATAACTCACCAAAACAGAAAGTAGTTAGGTTTAACCACCAGATTGAGAGTGTGTATCAGTGTATGTGTGTTTCCAGGGACAAATGGCACTTTACGGTCCGCAACTTCCCTTCAAACGGATAAAAACACAAAAGCAATAATCGTCCACAAAATTAAAAATCATTTTAAAAAAAATCTGAAATGAAAGCAGAAGACCACATGAAGGCGTCCCCTCAGGCTTGTTCTTTATCAGTTCTCCAGAGCTGCTCCTTGAGCTCTGGAGGTAAAGTGTTGAACAGATCCTCCTCCACGATCAGACCCGAGCGCTTCAGGAGGCGGCATTCGGAAAGCTCCACCGGTAATCCCTCCAGACGATTCCCGCGGAGCTCCAGCTGCGTCAGGCCGCTTAACTCTCCGAAACGGGATGGCAGAGCGGTAAGGCAGTTATTTCCCAGATTCAGCGTCCGCAGCTTCTTACACTGGAACAACTCAGGTGGCAAAGTTTCAATCTGAAACAGACGAAGCACATATGAAATGTAAAAGTGTTTACACCCATGTAGTGCGCATTTTTATTCAATGTTTGACGTAATCTCAACTGAAACATGGAGAGAGCGGGGCAGAGTAGCTCCTCCCCTTTAAAAAAAACAGCCAATAGCATTTCGCTTCTATCACAGCTCTAACAGTGAGAGGTTGAGCTCAAGCGCGTCAAATGAGAAGCAGATGAGAAGAAGAGGGCGGGGCATGTCAGACACTAGAGAGCATCTAAAACATGTTGATGTGACTTCAGCTGTGTTCAGCACGTGTGATTATTTCTGTGTGTTTTACGTGTCACCTAAAGGATAATGTACAGTGAGTGGTGTCAGGTGATGAGGGTTATTTTATATGGAATGAAGTGAGAAACATAAACCCAGCACAGCTATGCAGAAACTCTAAATCTCTGCAGTAAAACAGTCCGTCATCCAGTTTACAGGTCATTATACTCTATATCTGACTGCAGCATGACACGACCGGCCAATCGGAATAGAGTATTCCAGAGAGCACTGTAATATAATCTGTCTGTAATGAACAGCGGGGCCCATTTGAAGGCACTCACTCTGCAGGGCGGAGACCCTCAAAACACATTACACACAGGAAAACCAATTACCTCCAGAGCTAGCGGCTAAATCTAGCACACACACACATATATACACACAAACATATACATAACATATGTATACACACACACAGCACATGCACAAAAACTCACCGGCCACATTATTAGGTACACTTTACTAGTACCGGGATGGACCTGGTTATTTGAATTACTGTTGCCTTTCTATCAGCTGGAACCAGTCTGGCCATTCTCCTCTGACCTCTAGCATCAACAAGGCATTTGTCCCCACAGAACTGCCGCTCACTTGATATCTTCTCTTTTTATGACGATTCTCTGTAAACCCTAGAGATGGTTGTGCGTGAAAATCCCAGTAGATCAGCAGTTTCTGAAATACTCAGACCAGCCCGTCTGGCACCAACCACCATGCCACATCCAAAGTCATTTAAATCACATTTCTTCCCCATTCTGATGCTCGGTTTGAACAGCAGCAGATCGTCTTGACCATGTCTACATGCCTAAATGCATTGAGTTGCTGCCATGTGATTGGCTGATTAGAAATTTGCGTTAACAAGCAGTTGGACAGGTGTACCTAATAAAGTGGCCGGTGAGTGTAAAATCATGCATTCTTGATTTTGTGCTTTTTACTGTTGATCTTACTGGTACTGGCTCAGCGCACGCACGCACACGCACACCTCCATTTGAGCACTTTCTAGTGTGGAAACAGCATTATACAGTTGTCCGAATTCTTTGGATGAGAGTCAGATCATTCTGGTAAACACACATGCATACAGTGCAGGATCATGATCATGAAGGCACATAACCTGCACATCATGTGTTTTGAGTTTGATGTGTTCTTGTGCTCGTTTTTAGTCACGGGTGTGTTTAAGAATGCGTGTGTGGCTTGTTTCTGAAAATAGCAGCTTTATGGGACCTCCTGTTGAGGACCGAGTACAGCAGGTCATTATAGTGGGCTAAAACTAAACCCATAATGACGTTACTTCAAATAAACATCAACTCGATTAGAAAAAGACATCAAAGGCCTGCTGTTAGGACCAACTGATGAAGCACAACAAGAACATCTGAATAAACTCACAGTATTTCCTGCTATATTGTTCTTTCTTTTAGTTCGGCTGGAATGAAACAGCCTTCATTCATTCATTTTCCTTCGGCTTAATCTCTTTATTTATCAGGGGTCGTCAGAGCGGAATGAACCGCCAACTTATCCAGCATATGTTTTACACAGTGGATGCTCTTCCAGCTGCAACCCAATATTGGGAAACACCCATCACACATTCACATACACACACAATCAAACTTATTCACATACACACACTTAGCTTATTCAATTCCAATATAGCACATGTGTTTGGACTATGGGGGAAACCGGAGAATCTGGAGGAAACGCACACCAACACGGGGAGAACATGCAAACTCCACACAGAAATGTCAACTTACACAGCTAACCACTGAGCCACCATGTTGCCTAAATACTGCCTTGCCTTAAGAAACCTATAGTCTACAGAACAAACCACTGTTGTCCAACGACTCTCCTGATTAACCAAACTTGCCTAATGAATCTAGTTAATGTCACTTTAAGCTGAATACTAGTGTCTCACAAAATAACTAGTCAAACATTATTTGCTGCCATCATGGCAGAAATAAAACATTTAGTTTTTAGAAATCTGCCATAAAGAGTTTGGATGGTTAGTTCTAGACACTTTAAAGATTTTATTTACTGACTTATTTATTGACCTATTGACTTATTTGTTTGTTTATTTATTTATATGTGTGTGGTATTTATTTATTTATTTGTTAATTTTGCACAATTATTTTTTATTTATTGACTTATTTATTGACCCATTTGCTTTATTTTTTATTTATTTATGTTTCAATTATTTATTTGTTTGTTAATTATGTACCATTTAAAATGTTAATTTATTGACATACATTGACCTATTTACTTTATGTTATTGATTTAAGTTATTTATGTGTTTGTTTGTTTGTTTTAATTAACAATTAAACATTTAATTGACTTATTTATTGACCTATTTACTTTATTTGTAATTTATGTTATTTATGTAATTTTTTATTGTATGTATGATATACTTGTTTGTTAATTCTACACCATTTAAAATGCTAATTTATTGACTTATTTATTGACCTATTTACTTCATTTATTTGTTTGTGTTCGTTAATTCTCAACTATTTAAAATTTTAATATATTGACCTATTTACTTCATTCGTTATTTATGTTATTTATTTATGTGTAATTTATTTGTTTCTTTGGTAATTCTACACTATTTATTTATTTATTTTCCCATCCAAAGCGGCTGTTTTGAGTTCAAAGGGTTTGATATATTTTTTTATGTTGTTTAAAGAGATAGAAAAAATTAAAACCAGTTTGAGTTTCTTTTATTGAAACCAAAAGTTGATATTCTAAAGAATGTTCTAATAATTCTTCCAAAAAATTGTATTAATATAAATTTTAAAGGGATAAAAAAACCTGTTTGAATTTTTTTGTTGAACACAAAATAAGTTATTTTGAAGAATCTTCTAGTAACTTTTCCCCTAAAAACATTTAAACAAAACTTATTTTTCTTTTTATTGTGATGTTTAAACTGATAGACATAATAAAAAACCAATTTGCGTTTCTTTTGTTGAACAAAAAAAGAAGATATTCAGAAGAATGTTCTAATAATTCTTTTAACAATTGGTATTATTTTGACGTTTAAACAGGTGGAAAAAATTAAAACACAAGATATTTTGAAGAATGTTTCAGTAATTCTTTAAAACAAAATATATCTTTAAAACGATGTTTAAAGGGATAGAAAAAAACAGTTTAAGTTTCTTTCTTCTGTTAAACACAAATGAAGATATTTTGAAGAATGTTCACGTAATTCTTCTTCTTCAAAATTATTATTATCATGGTGTTTAAAATTATTTTAAATATTTAACCAATTGGATTTTCTTTCTTCTGTTGAACACAAACGAAGATATTCCAAAGAATGTTCTGGCAACATGGTAACCTGTACCCATTGACTTCCATACTATTAATTTTTGATGGATAAAAAAATAAAATAAATAAATAAATAAATGAGAAGATATGTACTCTATAATATATACACTCTGTACTCACTCTGTTGGCGGTCACAGCAAAGTACTGCAGGTTTTGAAGGAAGCCGATGTCTGCAGGAATGCTGGTCAGGTTATTGTGACTGAGGTCCAGATAACGCAGCTTCCTGCAGAAGAACAGCTGAGCCGGGATCTTCTCAATCTTGTTTCTGTTCAGGTACAGGCGCTCCAGGTTGGTGAGCGTGCCGATCTGAATAGGGATGTAGGCGATCTGGTTGTACCAGAGTTTCAAACACACCAGCCTGTGGAGATGCTGGAAACTGATGATCTCCTCGATGGTCTTCAGGTTGTTGTCCTTCAGATCAATTTCCTACAGGTGGGGAAATAGAACAACACCTTTAAAGGCACAGTATGTAATTTTGGCCACTAGAGTGCGCATATTCACAACAAACAAATGCGTGGTTTGATGACTGAGTATAAAATCATGGGAGTTTTGGTTTTCATTACATTCTTTAAATGGGACCTATTATGCACTTTAAGGACTTTACACACAGCTGTGAGACAACAGTCTGTGACTATAACCAGCTTCTAATGGTAATCAGTTATTAGTTCTATTTGTTTATAATCACACTTGATAAAAACTGTAGAAACACTTTGACATTCTCTCTTTGTACGTGTCATCAGAGGGGGAAAGCCCGCCCACTAGTAACCATCGCTGCCTCATTAGCATAAACAGCCCTGAGTGAGAAACTGCCATAGATAAATACATTAGATGTCGCCTGGCCTATTGTTGTCTATTGGATGGAATGCGTCAATAGCGCCACCATCTTGGTACAGGGTAGCGCTCCTTTGAAATGAATGCGGGACCAAGGTACAGTGGAGGACTGTGGCCATCCAAAGCCAGAGATATACACATATACACATATATCTATGATCAGGAGTTTTCCTGGATGTTAGTATGTAATTTTTTTTTCTAATTACGAAAATTATAATTTTACATCACTTTTCTACATTGATGGATCAGTAACCGCACGGGCATTCCTGACAAAAGCTTGTGTTTGTGTGTACAGAAATGCACTATTCACTCTCCCTGTTAAATTTGATCTAATCATGTCCTGAAACACACCCCCTCTCCTGCTTTCACTTCTCATACTGACGGAGGGAGCGATTCGTTTGTGAATGAATCTCCGTTATGAATGACTCTTTCACTAGCCGACAATAATACAAGTTTCTGGCAGCGCAGCATCTCGTTGTCATATTTCTTTTGCATTGTTTGCTGATTTTATTCAACAAAACTAGCATAAGCCGAGTGTTTAGTGCGAGTTGGAGCTGCTTTGCCTTATGGTGACTGCAGTAAGTGACTGTCATCATCAATAACGTGACCTGATTAGCACAAAAGTTCAGAACATACAAAAACAGAAAAAACTTAATATTACCTATGAAATGTTCGGCTTTTGTGCTTTGTTTTCTTTGTTTGCTCGTTACTACACCCGTAGACATCGCTAGAGTCCAGTACCTTCACGTAGTAACACTGTCTTGACTAGTGCAGTTGAATGACATTTGTCCTGGGAGCACTGTACCAATGTGGCGGCGCTATTGACACATGCTCAGGGTCCTTATGCGATATCTAGTGTATATATCTATGAGAAACTGCCACTTTGCTGACACAGGCATTTGTAGCTCCGCCCTCTTTTCAAAGAGCACAATCTCATTTGAATTTAAAGCAACAGTCAGCAAAACGGCCCAATTAGGATCAAAGCCTAAAATGAGCAGAGAGTTATAAAACATTATTTGCGTTACATTAAGCTAAAATCAAACATCTTGTAAAAAAGGGGACATAATAGGTCTGTCTCCTTTAAGAACCCTGCAGAAATCATGTTATATCATATATTTTAATGTCATGCCATGTCAGCAACAAAGGCTATATTCATGGCAAAACAATTGATTAAAAACAAATACAATAAAAACAACAAACAATTAAACAAGATGAATTATAGAAGATTTATAATGTTGACATATGATTAAAATTAATTTAACGTAGACATTGTGTCATTAATATGACGTGAATGTCAGATTAAGGGGCTTGTATGAGCATGAAAAACCCTGTGGTGAAACGCCAAGTGTTAGGAAATATACAGATGCCAATATGCAATGTTATGCAATATTATAAGGAACCCTGGATTTTAAGACTAAAAGAGGAGCTATTATGTCCCTTTTTACAAGATGTAAAATAAGTCTCTGATGTCCCTAGTGTGTATGCGAAGTTTCAGCTCAAAATACCAAGCAAATAATGTTTTATAACTCTCTAAAAACTGCCCCTTTAATTAGGCTTTGATCCTAGTTGTGCCATTTTGGTGACTGTCGCTTTAAATTCAAATGAGATTGTGCTCTTATCAAAAGAGGGCGGAGCTATAAATGCCTGTGTGCCAGCATAGTGGCAGATTCAAAAACAAAACTGATGTAATCTCTTTCTTTTGTTGAATATAAAATGCTGGTAGCTGATATCCATTGACTTCTATGGTGTGTTTGTTTCTGCAATGGAAGTCAATGGGTCCAGCTACATGGTGTATAGTGTAGCACAATTTTCAAAGGTTGTTTGAAGGGTTTTTGGGACAAGTATGCAGTTTAAAAAAAAAATAAAAATTTGCCGTATTTAAGGTCTTCTTAAGGTTTTCTTTAAAAATAAACGATCTTCACTGCCTGATTGACATATGATATGAGGTGGATTTCAGACTTAACAAGAAGCACTGCATTAAATTGCACTGTTTTGCGACATGTCTTTAAAATATGAAGATGTATTTTACCATAGTTTTTAAAATGGAGTTTCTGTGCTAACCTGCTGCTTCTGACTGCGTGTGCGTTTAAACGGTCTTCAACCTTGTTATACACTTAAAAAATATATATATATTTAACTGATTGTATTTTAATTACATTACAACATCAAAGCTGAAAAAGGAACTTTATTAAATTGAAATCAGTCCCATGAACGTTTTACCAGAAAGTTTATCGCTGAAGGAAAAACACTAGCTGTGCTACCCCTATTGGGGTTTACCTGTAGATTGTGCAGGCTGAATATGGAGTGCGGGATCCTCTCCAGATCACAGCACAGCAGCTCCAGCTCTGTCAGGTTCACCATCTTCTTCAGACTGTTCAGGACCATCAGTTTGGTGCCTTCGTTATTGATGGAGAGCTTCTGCAGATGGACACCAACGTCTGTCACCACCTGCAGGGGCAACAGAGCTCCAAAATTAACAACATGCACAGAATTTAAATACAAATACAGCAGAATTTCAAATAAAAAAAATGCTATTTTTTGCTAGAACTTACCAATGTGCCTTTATGAACTAAATTACATGTGAATATATATATATATATATATATATATATATATATATATATGTGTGTGTGTGTGTGTGTGTGTGTGTGTGTGTGTGTGTGTGTGTGTGTGTGTGTGTGTGTGTGTGTGTGTGTGTGTGTGTGTGTGTGTGTGTGTGTGTGTGTATATATATATATATATATATATATATATATATATATATATATATATATATATATATATATATATATATATATATATATATATATGTGTGTGTGTGTGTGTGTGTGTGTGTGTGTGTGTGTGTGTGTGTGTGTGTATATATATATATATATATATATATATATATATATATATACACACACATACACACACACACACACACACACATACATACATACAGGGCTTTACATTAACTTTTTTAATCACCGACCACTGTGGCTAGTATTTTTCCAATGTTACTAGCCACTCTGCATTTTGACTAGCCACAATTTTGTTGTTGGGAAAATATATTTTATATGCATAAATTTGACGTTGACATGCTAAAAGTTACTTGATTTAAATTTTATGTTATGTCCACATGCCTCATTCATTTCACTTTTTGTGTGTCGAGTATGAGTTTGCTCAATGAGCATGAGCAAATGGGTCATGGTTTCATAGTGTTATATTGCAATTAGTGTTTATTTCACAAGACTTTTTTTAGAGCTCAAAATTAACGATATACCAAATTTATCTCTATAACCACATGAAACAATAATTATTTCTAAGCCACAAAATTTTATTGTGTCAAAACCAAGCGGCAACCTCCCGCTCTCCCTCAGGAAGCCAATATGGAAGTAACTAAAACTGCAATTCATCCGAAATTCCGCTAGTCGTGGCCGCTCCTGGCTCCAAAACAGAGCAAATTTCAATTGAGCCCACTGTTAGAATGGCCAACTTTACAGCAGAAAAAAAGGTGTTTACAGCCTGGTACAAAAAAAGATTTTGGTTAATACAGGTAATATTACCCTTCATGACAACTGTGAGGGGGGTGAATTTTTTTATAACTCATCCGTTTCCTTTATATTAAGTTATATTAAGTTTGCATAATTAAGGGAGTGGCCACTTGAGTGACAGCTAGGTCTCGCTGGTCTTCGTCACGTCACCTCAGCTGAATCCTGCAGATTAGCCACTGAACTCGGCTTATTTATCGTATTTCTGTGTTGTTTTATGTGGCTTTACACAGTCAACTGCCTTTTGGACTTGTTTCCCACAATTATTAGATGGCATGGCATGCTGTGTGAACTTAATTGTGCTCACAAACCATTCACGTGGCCTCCGTTTCCCATGTGAGTAAAGTTATATACTTATATACCATCTCTGTACATGTATTTGTTTTATTTAAGATCATTTATCGTCTATATTTATATTTAGAGCTGTAAAGCACTCCAGAATCTGACAGATTGATTAGCTGTGGGCTGTAGATCAGTCATCTGAAGCGTTGTCATACAGTGTTATGCTGGATTTCATCAATAGTCTTACATTTACTAACACAGACTATATCTGAAGTGTTTGGAAGTAATTCGCGTTTTTCTCCTGTTGAAAAACGTCATAAGAACAATGTCTAGTGGCTCAATGTATTACAGCAGTGTTCTTAAAAGTCTAAACACTTTATTGATATAGTGTACAACCAAGCACAAGTGGTCAGAATTCAAACGAGTCACAAGTGATAAAGTATTAAGCATTTCTCCCAAAGTAAAGTGTGTCTGAACCAGGTCCAAGCTAAATGCTAGCAGGTGTCTGTAGCTCCGCTCACTCTCCGCCTCTTTGCCCTTGTTTGGTATCCCGCCGTGGGTGTGATGACGCGCGACCAAAATGGCGACGGTTGGCCGCGCCTACTTGTGGCTTCTTTTGCGCTCTTCAGAAACCCATGGGTGACGTCACGGATACTACGTCCATATATTTTACAGTCTATGGTCAAAACAAGCAAAGTATAGCTGTATATACTTTTTATTTAACAAAAAATTCTTAAAAAAGAAAGAAAAGCAATTAACTTTTTAAAAAATAATTATTGTCATGTATCAAAAATATGCACAGTAATCTGTCGTGGCTAAAGAACTCTCAGATCACCAGTTGACTGCACATAAATGGAGAATTCATCTCCCATTAAAGCAACGTTGTAAAAAAAAAATTAATAATAATTAAACCATTTTAACAAAAATAAAAGCAAATAAAACCGTAAGCAAATGAAAGCAGGTGAAACATACCGTGCGTGATAATAAAAGAATGATCACATGTACACGGTTAACTTTAGGCCATTTAATAATCTGTTCAAAGTGAAAGCAACCGGTTCTGCTTACATAAAGACACATTTTGAGCTCTTAAAAGCATCAGGACTGTGGGTGCATGTTCATCACTTTTTGTCTAGTTTATTTGAAAGAGAACCGATGATAGTTGCATTTCCAGAACCTGTTCCAGACACGGTTGCTTCACGATTCAGGAGCGCGCACGTGTTAAGCAGTCGCGCACACGCGTTTTAAGCAGTCGCGCGCATCACATCAGCTGTTAGCGCGAGCGATTATCATCCTCTCATTCGGTATTCATTTGCTTTCCTCTGCTCGCGTGATCACAATTATTTTACTTCTCGATTCTAAGATCACATTTGCACGCATATTGGGTCATCCTTATATTGACGAACCCTGCTTTTAAGATAACTACAATTTAAAAATAATTTTCAACCAGCCAAAGTGGCTAGTGGAGGTGTCTGTCTAACCCGCCAAAGCTGAAATCTACCGTTGGCGATTGTTAATTTAAAGCCCTGTATGTGTATGTATATATACACACACACACACACATATACACACACACACACATATATATATATATGTGTGTGTGTGTGTGTGTGTGTGTGTGTGTGTGTGTGTGTGTGTAAGTGTGTGTGTGTGTGTGTGTGTGTATATATATATATATATATATATATATATATATATATATATATATATATATATGTGTGTGTGTGTGTGTGTGTGTGTGTGTGTGTAAATGTATGTGTTAATTTACATACATAAAAACAAATAAAATTTATAAACAAAAAATATGTATAATTAACAAACTATTATTTTATATATATATATATATATATATATATATATATATATATATATATATATATATATATATATATATATATATATATACACATAATTTAGTTTTTTTAAATAACAATACATCTGTGCTACAATATTACGGTTACAACGAATATTCATTAGTGCATGTCAAATATTAGTTAATATTATTTCTACACATTGCTTTTACATTTAAACGCAGTTTTCTCTTATATTTTTCTGCTCTAATAATGTGCTGTGACTGACAGTGTATTCCTGACCTGAGGCAGTTTGGTGAGGTTGCTCTTCAGCCGCAGCACTTTGAGTCTCTTGAGCTCCCGCAGGCCGTCGATGACGATGAATCGGTTGTTTTCTGCACTTAGGTTTCCCGTCAGATGGAGCTCGCTGAGGTTCTTGAGGCTGTAGATCCACAGCGGAATCTCCTTGATGTCTGTGAACTTGATGTGCAGGGATGTGAGGTTTTCCCGCAGGAAGGCCAGAGCCGGAGCTTCGATTCTGGCCGGCGTGTGGTAAAGCCACATCTCTCTCAGATTGGAGAGCTGTGCGATGATCGGCGGGATCGTGATGTCTGGAATCAGCTCCAGTTTCAGAACCTGCATGAAACGCGGAGAAGACGAGAGTTATAAAAAAAAAAACATTCATCCATGTTTTGGAGTGGCCCAGCCAGTGTCCTGACTTAAATCCAATTGAGAATCTGTGAAGGGAGCTAAAAATAATTTTTAAATGTGAGGGTATATAACATTTATGCACATGTTTTTTTTATTAGGGGTGTCACGATTTCGATTTTTAATCGAAATCGATCGAAATTTATGCTCAATTTCGATTATCGAATCAAAAAATAGAATCGTCGATGCTGCCATGCCCCCATGTCAAGTCAGCTTGGCTTGCCAAGTGGGAAAAAAGCAGGCTTGTTGAAGTGCTTGTTAAACTGCAGAAGCAGGAGACCCGTCGACAGAACTTAAACCCTCTCCTCTTTCAATGAAGTCGCCGGTGTGTAAGCATTTTGGATTTCCAGTGAGTTATGTTGACAACGTTCGTGTTGTCGACAAAAAAAACAACACAGTTTTGCAAGCTCTGCTATGTACGTATTACGTACGGTTCGTCCGATAGACAACACCGGCATCGCGATCCTCCGCCCGCCCCCGTTGCAAATCCGCTCGCGAAAAGTACACACTCAGGCCCTGTTTACACTGTCTTTGTCTGTCTTTCTGCACTGTCTGAGCAGCCCTCCTTCCTCACTACCTCTGAAAATGCACATCACGTGACCACACAGACACAGACGCACACACAGCCATGCGCTCGAGACAGCAGGTCCAGGCAGTCAGAGGACTGCTTCAATCTTTCACTCACTTGTACTTAGTCATTTTAGCGAACACCTCAGATACTGTTGGCTGGTTCCTGTTGGTTGTGCCTCTTTTTTACCGACGCCATTATAACGACACAGATCACTGCCTATTCACGAGTCCCGCAGAAAAAGTGATTGACAGGTGGTAATTATGTGTGTATCTTGCCTTTATTCATTTACTGTATGATTTGTTTATGGGTAAAACAAAGACCATGCAGGTCAGGTAGTTAATTGGTCATTAATTAATTAATTATTCATAATCGAAAATCGAATCGTGCCTTTAGAATCGAAAATGTAATCGAATTGAGGATTTGGAGGATCGTGACACCCTTATTTTTTATAATACACATATTGCGATATAAATACAGTTTCATCAGATGACTTAACATCTCTATTTGGAAAAGAATTTATAATGTTAGACCAATTGAGATGATTCTGCAGTGGGAGTGCATCTCTAATAAAATCTAATAAACTTCTGGTACTTTTAGAAATGGGTTGAAAAAAAAATAATCTTCTCTCTGTTAAACAGAAAAAAGGAGGAAAAAATAAACAGGGGGACTTCAACTGCATATGTTAAATTACAATGGGCTACTTCTCGTTCTTTGTATTGAAGAGAACTTCACTGAAGAAATATTATTCGTTTTTTCCTTACTCCAAAACAGAAAATGTCATTTTATGGGAACTCAAATTGTCGGAGGCATTGCGGTTCACAGGACGCTTACCATTTTCACATATTTTGGGGATGCCCTAATATTAGAAGTTTTTCGAAAGTGATACATAGCACGCTAGAAAATATCTTAAATATTTTAATTGATTTCAGCTTTGAGGTACTTGGGTATGCTGTCAATGGATTCCTTGGAAAGAAAAGATAAATATATGCATAGAATTATCCTTGCATCAAGTAAAAAAGCCATTACTAGATGCTGGTATAAAACTAAACCACGACCAATGCAAGATTTGATTGATGTTTTGAAAAATATAGTAATTATGGAGAAAATTACATACAGTGTGCACAACCAAATGTATATATTTGTTGACTTATGGTTTAAATGGATTGAGTACATTCCTCCCATTCAACCTAATGTCTTTCTTCAATAGAATTTTAAGACTTATTTTTACTAGTAATATTGTTTTCACCCCCCCCCCCCCCCACTTTTTATTCTTTATTCTCTTTTTTCTGTATATGGTTTTGATTAGGATGATGTAAAATAAGGCAAGAGGATATGTTCTGTTGCTGTTATGAAGAAATTTGTGTTTTCTCTTCGGGCCCAGATTGGGAATTTAAACTATAAAAGCTGTAAAAGTGACATACTTCTACTGATGCTGTGAATTGCATCTCTCTGCAATAAAAAAAAAGAAATAAAAAAACTAATCATAGTTGAGATTACACTGCGATATTACTGCTGAAATGAGATTAATATGCAGCCCTATTATAATGTGTTATTAAAACTAATATATTGAAAAATATGTTAGTCTCTCCAGTGAATATGGATACGGGATAGAATAGCTCCAAGTGTAACAGGGCCGGAGTGGGACTCATTTTCAGCCCTGGAGTTTCAAGCTAGACCAGCCCACCTCAGTTCACTGTCTATATTAAAATAAGGTCATTTCCAATTCAGTTTCTAGTGACACTATCATGTCTTTCTCAAGAAAACAGCTGATTTAGAAATTCAAATGTTCAAAAGGCCAAACAGTATTATGTCTTACAATAAAAATGAAAAAAAAAAAAAATAAATAAATAAATTTTCCAGGTGAAATTCGAACACGGGTCGGACAGCGAGGTAACGCAATGTGTTTACGACTGGTCCACTATAGCGCTAATGCAGCGAGAGAAAAAAAAAGTATTGGACTGTGACCTGCAAGACACGGTATTACTTTCTGTTAATGGCTTAATCTTTTTCTCCCCTTTTTAGATTTCTGATCAAGTTATGTCAGATTTATTAATGTAGTGAATCATCTGATTTTCATTGAGCAGGTGTATTATTCATTAATATTAATTATTCAAATTCGCTGTTTGGGGTCGAATGATGATAGTTAATGGTACATCATCATTAACGTTAGTTAACCTGCAGGCTGCATTTTGCTCACGGGGCTGCGAGAAAATAATGAATAAAAAGAGTGAGGCTATGGTAAAATAAATAAATAGATGGAAAAAAAGTCTGACTGCTGAGAGTGCAAGCAGCTCAAAATTACAGTCTTTTATGTGTCAGTGGTCATAAAGGGTCATCTGGAGTCTCCAAGTGGACTTTTTTGGGGAGCGCCTAGTCATTCACTTGGATAAACATGTATAAAACACTAATTGTTAAGGTACTGTTATCAAAAAAGAAAATTTGGCTTGAACCTTCAATCCAATTGTCTTTTCAAAATAATACCTCTTAATTACAGTCTTCTGCAGGCATTAGTAAAGATAAAAAGTTTAGGCAGATTTTTATTTTTCAGTGTGTCTTAAGTTTAAATACTCAATAATTGCTCAATAACATTTACAGTGACTTTAACTATTAGGGAATAAACCTCGGTGTGTCACCTTTAAAAACAATTGTATGCAATTTACTTTGGGTACTATGCATTTTTTAAGCATTTAAGCAAATGTTACACGAATGCCAACACCACTTGGGAAATATTTAACCAAAACTAATTTCACAGGGGTAATAATTGTCTCTTAAACTGTATATAAAGCAGAGAATTAATGAATGAATAATGTGTGATTGGACTAGGACTATTTTGAATGAATTGCATAGACAATATGACTCTAGAAAGCTCATTATCTGCGCCGTTTCATTTGGTGAAGTTAATGACACTGAAATTACACACTTCATCCTTTACAATTATAGGGTTAAAAAAAACATGACAGCCCTGTGGGAGGAAACAGCTCTGACTTTCCCCTGCAGCTGCGAAGCACAGAATAAAAAACAAACCCTTCAGGCATCAAATGCTTACTAAAGAAGAAGCTGATCTGAACTTGTATTTGCATATGCAAAAGAAGATATTTTGAAGAATGTTGGAAATTGACTACTATAGTAGGAAAATAAATACCACAGAAGTCAATGGCTACCGGTTTCCTGCATTCCTCAAAATATCTTACATGCTCAACAAACAAAAAAAAAAAAAAAAACAAGTGAAGGATGAGTAAATGATGACAATTGTCATTTTTGAGAGAACTAACCCTTGGAACTGGTGTTCTGTGCTTTTTCCTATATCCTGACAATTAATTAATCTTGTTATTTAATGAGTCTGCACATTTGACTGATTGCTGGCCTTCATTTCCTATATTGTAAAACTGTTTGTATGTTATACCTTTATAATGGCCAATATTGATCATTAAAACTATATTCAGCAAAAGAGACTAGGTACGTTTCATATTTTTCAATGAAAATGAAAGAAGGCAGTATTGTTATAGACTCCGTTTTGCTATAAATATGCACACAGTGAAGATGACGCTCATATAAATATGGAGCTACACAATGCCTCAACATTTTTTGTGTCTGTTAAGTTGTTAATATCCAAATTAAAATATGCAGTTCCTCATAGCCTATCATGTTTTCGTTATTTTGTTAAGATAGTGCACTTAATATTGAGGAAAAAGCCCCAATCAGATGTCGAATATCTGCAGCCTAGGCTTGGGCGGTATCCAAAATTTGATCCCGGCAAACCTCCTGCCTATTTTACCTCGGTAAACGGTATTACCGTGCGTAATAAAAAAAAAATGGGGGGGGGAATAGGTCGCAGACGCCCTAGGCAGACACCTGGGTCGCCTCTATGCACTGGCTCTGCACACATGAACAGTATCCACGTGGAAGCGCAAGTGCTCGCTCGCTTTATTCGGAAATGTATTCCCGCACTGCAAGAAATCTGGTCGGGTCCCTTAGCTCCCTAGGTACAGCAGCGGGAATGCAGACCTCTAGTTCGTAGTTCCCTTTTCGTTTAGTCGAAGCCCGAAATACTGCTGAGGTTGTGTTTTTTTTCGAGAGCAGGGCACTTTGTGCGCGACTCGCCATCTTACCTCACCTCTCTCTCCTCCACACTGTCCCTTGATAACAATCACACACACACAATTTTAGGCATTGAATAAATAATATATAACATTTAATACTTGTCTCCTATATAAGTGCATTGTTTTTATGACGGTATTAAAACTGATACCATAGCTATTTTTAGATCCCGCGGTATACCATATTACCGTATTACCGCCCAAGCCTACTGCAGCCACGCCTTCGTTTTCAGATGTCTCCGTTTTCCACCATCCACAATAACACAAAGCAGCAGTGTTTTAAAACCAAATTGGCCTCTTCAGCGTTTTCAAAACAGGGCTTGAAAACTCCAGGGTAGTGCGGACAGTAGGCATAACCATAGCAAGACTTTGCATTTTAAAACTAAAATGTATTAGTGTAAACGGGGTCTTGTTCGAGTATGATTTTTCAGGACACTTTCCACCACTGATAAATCACTGTAAAAACCCTGTTAAAAACACTATAAACCCAACGCACCTCCAGCTCCACCAGGTCGAACACCGTATCAGGAATCCCGCTCAGCATAAACAGATGCAGCTCCAGCTTCTCCTGCGAGTTTTTGGTGATTCTCTGTCGGAGTTTCTCCAGTGTCCACTCGTTATTCAGATTCAGCTGCCGAAGCTTATTCTCACTGACCTCCGACAGAAAGACAGCAAACCTCTTGGAGTACAGCGGGTCGTACTGATCGATCATATGCAGCATAAAGGCGAAGTCGTTTTTGACGTCCGGGATGTCGCTATAACTGCTCTCTTCACGGATAGACTCGAATGAATATCGTTTAAGCGAGCGACTGATGATCCAGTATAGCGTGTACATGCATATGAGGCCGTAAACCACCACCAGGCTGATGTAGAAGCAGGCTAGGATCTTGAAAAGTGTGGCTAGCGGATGTGCACAGTGGTATGTGCGATATCCGGTCAGTCTCTCGATGTCCACTGTGCAGGTGACGCTGAAGGTGATGTAGTGCACGTAGTACATGGTGTAGCAGATGATGATGAGGAACTGGATGACTTTGATGATGATTTGGCGGATGTAGAGACGGTGGACGATGTCGCCCTCCTCCACATGGATGCGAAACTTTTTCACCTGAAAATAAACAAAGAAGTCAAAATTATTAGCCCTTTTTTTTCTTCAAATATTTTTAACAGAGCAAGAAAACTTTCACGGTATGTCTGATAATATTTTTTCTGTTGACAGTCGCATGTGTCTCACGCTGCTATAAACACTATTAGGACACATATTTTTTACTAAAAAGTGAAAATTGGTTGTTTTTGCGTTATTTTGAGCAAATTCGTTCTTTTGGTTTGAAACTAATTTTTAAAGCTGCGTCACGCCAATTAGATCCTTGCGTTTATTCCAGCGTGGAGAGCAGATCTCTGTACCTGCGAGTGCATCGTGACGTCTCTGAGTGTGCAGCATTAATTCACGAGAAAGACCTGGTTTTAACCAATCAGCGCACTCTATTGTGTATGAGGTGCAACTTCATTAATATGCATTATAGCTTCGAAGACAGTTTATACCTGTTACAGTGTTCAGACGGCAGAGAGACGCCACATTGTGTTGCTAAAACAAGTGGAAGAAGAAGAATTGTTTGGAGACACGGGTCGTCAGTGTTTTGTTTAAAAATGTGCTGCAACGAAGGTTTTGTTTTCATTTCCCCGCTATGAGAGCGCAGCTGGACTCACGTGTGGATTACGGTGCACGCAGCAGAAATACATTTGTACAGAACATTTTTTACCCAAGAGCTTTTTGCACCTGGAAATGGTGAAATCCGGATTTGCTGCTCGTCTCCTTTTTAAAAAAGATGCAGCTCCAGTCAGTGTTAATTCTCCGGTCTCTACAGAATTGTAAGCAAGCGATCAGTGGTCTTTGTTTATGTTTATTCAGAGGCAAAGTTAGGTCGTATCGTCAGCAGTACTCTTTCAGTGTTTAAAGACATATCTTAGTCAAATGATTTCTAAGTTACTCCGTTTACAGTACGTTAATATCACTACAACATTATAGACTGAATGATCCGCTGTAAATGCGGCTCTCTAAATGTAAACACTGCAATCAAACTATTACAGTCATGTAAGATTTTTTTGGGATTTTGTGACAATAGTCTACACACACGGCTTTCTGACACTACCTACAGAGTGCATCCAAGTTACAGAGAAATGCAGAGTTTTTCTTCTCTCGTTCGCCGTGCGGTAACAAACATTCCATTAAAACTTCACTCCGCCAGCAGTTCCTCGTTTATATGTCATTTGTCACAGGGGGCATGCATGAAATGTTCCTGAATGAAAGTGAAAGTGCCAAACTGCAGTTAAAGTCGACAAATTAATAATTTGGCAGGTAATTCGATCACTGATGTCCATGTAAATGCAGTCATGGTCTTTCTACCCTGCATCTGTGTGTTTGTTTTGCCTCTGTGAAAACTAGCGCGTGCCCAAACGGAAACTCCCATTTTTATGCAAAACCTTTCCTCTTTCCCTCCCCCTACACTCCCGCCTAAACAGAGCTGGACACGCCCACTTTCCTGACTTCTTCCAAACTAGAGGTGTGAAAACACCCTGCTGAAACAAGGAGGTTTCATGGCACTTTAAGCTTAATATAAGTATCCTGAGAAATATCTAATCAAATATTATTTACTGTCATCATGGCAAAGACAAAATAAATCAGTTATTAGAAATAAGTTATTAAAACTATTATGTTTAGAAATGTGTTGAAAAAAATCTTCTTTCTGGTAAATAGAAACTGCAGGAAATAAAAAACTTAAATGTTCATCAGAGGATGAGAAACACACCTTTGCTGTAGCTCTGATAAAGGTTTTATTTATGAAAACAATTTAAAAAAAGGTGTGGTCCATGGTGTATTTTTAAGGTTTGGTTGTGTTTACAAGATGCAAAGCAATGTGTGCTCATGCTTCAATGGTATAAAATCACGTTATTTATCTATATATATATCTTACTTTAATTATATACTGCTAATCAGCTAACATGAAAACATCTGTCATATTTCCTAGTTCCTCTGAAAGGCCCGACCTCAAGAGGCTCTGATTGGTCAGCAAACATAATGTGCTATGATTTGCTTGTTACCCAGTAAAAAAACATTACAATAATCACAGACTCCCTCAGTGTCATGTATGTAAGCTTAATAAACAAGCCTATTTACAGTACACAATCAGAGGTTGCTAGCCGCGCACTGACAAAGAATAGATTGACTAAATCAATAAGGCTTTCAAATTGTGCAATGACAAGTAAAGAAAACGAAAAGTAATGAGCCCGATTTAAAAATGTATGAAGTAAAAAGTACAGATATTTGGGTAAAAATGTAAGAAGTAAAAGTAAAAAGTTGTCAGAAAAATATGTAGTGGGGTAAAGTGATACCAGAAATATCTACTTAAGTAATGTAACAAAGTATTTGTACTCCGTTACTTCCCATCTCTGCTGAAACGTGTATATTCCATACAAAATGTGTAGCTGATTGGATGACTCCTGGTGTAAAACGTTGAGATGTGTCTGGAAACCACACACAAGCCGCAAGCAACCATTAGAAAAACCCAACCTGCCCATGCAAAAGATGCTATATGTGAACAGCCCCTAAATGACATCACTTACATACTATATCACTACAGGTTATCTATACTTGTATTTAATAACTTTAACTGTTAATAGCCATTAGTAACTAGTTAATCAGTTAAAGTAATTTAGCAGTTATGGTAACTAACAACTTAACTTTCTAATTTTGATTGTAAACCAATAACGTGCAGCTTTTGTAAAGCTACTGTGAAACAGTAATTATTGTAAAATGTGCTATACAAATACACTTGAAGCGAACGCTTGGTGGCTCAGTGGTTAACACAGTCACCTTACAGCAAGGAGGTTGCTGGTTTGAGTCCCAGCTGGGCCAGTTGGCATTTCTGTGTGGAGTTTGCATGTTCTCCCTGTGTAGGCATGGGTTTCCTCTGGGTGCTCCGGTTTCCCCCACAGTCTAAACGCATGCGCTATAGGGGAACTGAATAAACTAAAATGGCCGTAGTGTATGAGTGTTGGTGTGAACAAGTGTGTATGGGCGTTTGCCAGTGCTGGATTGGGGCTGGAAGGGCAATCAATGTTTAAAACATGCCAGAATAGTTGGCGGTTCATTCCACTGTGGCACTTCCAGATAATCAGGGACTAAGCCAATGAAAAAATTAATCAATCAATAATCAATTTCTTTATCTCAAACGCACCTTCTCAAACAGCGCTTTGGCCTGCTCTCCTTCCTTCTTGTCCAGCACGCCGGTCTCCGAATGATCCACAATGCCCTGCTCGATCCTGGATTTGGTCCTCTGCAGCATTGGGACGCTCGCCTCCACGTCCTGATCGCTAACACTGGAGGCTTTCTTATCCATGGAGCCGTTCATCTTCCCTGCCGGCTTGGGATCGCTCTCCTCCACTACGGTCTCAGAAAGTGCTCGGGTCGTCCAGGGCGAATCGAAACACTTCAGCAGAATGGACACGAAATGCTCCAGCTTGGAACTGGTGCGTGGAAACTTGAACCAGAAGTTGCTGCAGGCCAGAAAGATGAGTGTGTGGAGGAGCACCAGGTATGGGAAGTATTTAGCGAACCAGTGCAGCTTGTTTTCGTAGCACACGGCGTCCACGTAGTTGTACTGGTGCCGGTCGAGGTCGTATTGGATGCCTTTGGGCTCGGTGTGAAGCGGGACGCTGACGTTGAGGTGGTGTTTGCAAGTCTGGTTGACCACCCACTTGCAGGGCAAGCAGATCATCTTGTCCTGGGTGACCTGGAGCGTCCCGCCGAACACCGCGATCATCAGCATGACGATGGAAATGTAGTCGGTGAACACGTCCCACCATGGCTTCAGGATTCGGTATGCCGGCTGGGTGTCCGCGAAATACCGCAGCTCAGTGATGGGAATCATGACGGTTTACCTGAAAAACACAAACAAGCAATTCCAGCATTAAGGATGTGATTTTAGCAGAAAAAAAATCTGACAATACATTAAAAAAAGAAAGTATATGTTAACGTTAATCTCCAAAACAACTAACCACAGAGTTATGAGATCGGAAAAAATATCAACCTGTAAACATTTTTTATAGTTTAATTGAGGGAAATAAACATACAATATGGATGTGACCAAAAAAAGTATGCTAGTGTACAGTCTACAGTAGGGTAGAGCTGCACGATTCTGGCTAAAATGAGAATTGCGATTTTTTTTTTGCTTAAAATAAAGATCACGATTTTCACACGATTCTGTAGATGTAAAATAAAGGTATGGTAAAAACAAACATATGGCACAACATCGATAATAATATTATGTGTAGGTCTACTGGTTTCTATAAATAATTCTATTCTATATTAATCTATTCTTATAATAATTCTGATGTTGAATTATTATGTTTGAGATATATGCTTGCAATCTGTCATATTAGACAATTTTATTCACTGGTAAAATCAGACATTTGCCATTATTAGATTATACAATATATAGACTAGAGTAGTTATACTGACATTGTAAACATTTACTTTCATGCACAACTGTGGGTTTGCTATGAAAGAAAAAACATTTCAAATGCTTGTCAGAATCATAACTCTAAAATGCGATATGATCAATTAAATGAAGTGCACACTTTCGGTTTCATTTTGACTGCTAAGTACTAGTTCTTGCTTCGCACGCGGCTTCCAAACGATCACTCTGAGCCACAAACTGAATATTATTTACAACTGTATTACCTGTTACTCGCAACATATGCAGGTTCTGTTCACTAAAGTAGACGCGCGCGTCTATCATTAAGTAGAGCACGCGCGCCTGTTCTCTCTGTGATAACAGCTCACGGTCAGCAGCTCACGTCACGTGTGATTTCGAGATCGCGAAAACATCATTATATTAAAACAAAAACGACATTTTTGGGTGAATTATACCTTATAAATACAGTATGTGACTAATTCAACATCATTCGGACGTGTCAATGTGTTTTCTTCTCCCTGAACTTGAAAATATGATTGGCAGAATCGTAGAAATGCTGGATTAAGATCGTCTAGGGGGTCGAATCGAGATCGCGATCTTTTAACGATTAATTGTGCAGCTCTACAGTAGGGATAAGTACTGAAACTTGGTACACAAAGCCAACAAAAACAGCAGAATCTACCATGTGTCCTGTAGTTTTTACAAGGCTGTCTAAAGCTCGAGTGGTTTCGCTTTCTCACGTGCGTTCGCCGCGCATCAATATTTGAAATTACGAACCTCTTAAGCTGATAATAATTACCTGTGCGTGGTTATAGAAGTGCTTCTGACATCCGATCCTTTCAGAAATGGACAAATGTGAGACTGACGCGAAAAAAACAAAGGAGCAAATGATTCTTTCAGCAACCTAAAAGATGATCAAACTGCCATGTTTAACTATTATCATCACCTTTAGGACTATTATGAACTCTGAATGGCGGAATGACTCTCTAACGAAGGTTACATGTGCTGGTGAAGATTACAGACACAGATGAGAGGTTTACACTGACTGTGAACTATATATTGTGTGTTGTTTTTCAACCCAAACAAGCAATAAATGTCTGCTGTGTGTAGTTTTTCTGTAATCGTTAACATATCAGAGACTGTAAGAGTCTGTATGTGTTCATATGTGTTGTATTTATTTATTTTATATAATTGCAGACGTTACAGTAAGCTATTTAGCACCATCATTGATCTGCAGTTAAAATCAAATTATATTCACAGGAAGGTTAGTAATAAACATTTATACACAAGTATTCATGTGTATAAAGCATCTGTTTTGCGAGAAGTGCTTCTCATATTATATATGAACAACCCATGCAGTTTTACTGTAGACATTTCCTCAAGTGAGAATAACGGTGACTAAAACTCGAACACCACACTCTCCAAAAGAGTACCATTGGTACCCTTTGGGAAGTGGAAATGCAAGCCTGATGAAGGTGACCCGTACCGACCCGTAGTGTACTGTACCACTCAGTGGAAACACACCAAATTGGCAAAATGTGTTGCACTGTGACAACATATATACTTCATAAATCAAACTGAATAAAAGTCTGTTATGTAATTTTAACCTCATGCAAAAGGTAGTGTCTGCCTCAAAATAACATGAATTCAAATAAATAAACGTGCATCACATAATGACGTCAAAATGTTTCACTTTCTGAGCCTGTGATTTCTTTTATTTTCTTCTGTGCTTCTTCCAGTAGCAATGAATCAGAGCTCAGATCATGGACACAGGAAGTGGCTCGAGTGAGTCAGCAAAACATCCTCTGCGTGTGTGCGTGTTTCAGGAGTACAGTTACAAAAAAATAAGCGGGGAGTGTGAGTGTGTGTGTGTAAGCACATTCATGGACAATGCAATCTCGATCTTATTATCCTAACCTTAAGTCAAATAAAAAGCACTACCATATATATATATATATATATATATATATATATATATATATATATATATATATATGGCTGATTCCAGCGTTATGGATGTGACATTTGCAGTAAAAATTCAAAACATAAATTCGCAGAGAAAGTATACGTTAACATTATATTGAATCATCTGTTTATATTTTCCAAAACAACCAACCACAGACTTATGGGATCAAAAAAATTCAATCTGTGAACATTTTTATACTTTAAATGAGGAAAAAAAACAAGCGTTATGGATGTGACAAAAAAAGTCTGCGAGTTTACAGTATACAACATATTTCGTAGAAATTCTGTGAATTAAACTACACAACCCAAAATAAATAATGCTCAACAAAAGGATAAGAGTTGGCTCTTTATAGAACAAAACTGATTGATTTTATTTTATTTTGACATAATTGCATTTTTAAGGGAAAAGCTTTGTTATGGATGTGACACTTTTTCGTTATGGATGTGACGGATGTGAAATTGCCATTTGTTTGACTTTGGTAAATCAAATATAATAGTTTGAAAACATTGACAGAGACATTTTTAAGTATTTTTAAAGTACTGTAAAACACTTGCCTGTGCAAAAAATGTAGAAACGGTTTCGCTATTTTGGTGAAAACATTTTTCTTTTCATGGCAAGGTTGACATTTTCATGGAATTGCTCTATATATATATATATGGTAGTGCTTGTTATAAACTATGTATCTGTGCATTTTATTATTTTGTAAAAACTCCTTTGACTTCATAACCTTGCATAATTCCACAACCTTCCCTTTCTCTTGAGATGCCTTTTCTTCAGTTCTGGTCACATGAAATGCTTTCTGGGCAGAGCCATCAGTCCATTAGGGCGGAGCCATCAGTGTATCAGAGTGCACTGCTGCCCCCTAATCTGTAAACTATCTGTCCTAAATAGCAATCGAGAATATAATTTGTAGTCTCAAAGCATGGTAAAATGTACACCAAAAGTACCCTGACGGTCTTTTATTTCAGTTAATACTTCAAAAAATAGAACAGTCTGTACTCTAACTGCTAATATTGCCAAATCAGCTAAAAAAAAGATTAAAATTACACATTTACTAACGAATATATAAAGAGTTGAAGTCAGAATTATTAGACCACTTTTAATTTTTTTTTCTTTTCTTTTTTTAATATTTCCAAAATGATGTTTAACAGAGCAAGGAAATTTTCACAGTATGTCTGATAATATTTTTTCTTCTGGAGAAAGTCTTATTTTTTTATTTCAGCTAAAATAAAAGCAGTTTTAATTTTTTTTAAAAACCAATTTTGGGACAATATTAGCCCCTTAAAGCATTTTTTTTTTCAATAGTCTACAGAACAAACCATCGTTATACAATAACTTGCCTAATTACCCTAACCTGCCTAGTTCACCTTATTAACCTAGTTAAGCCTTTAAATGTCACTTTAAGCTGTATAGAAGTGTCTTAAAAAATATCAAGTAAAATATTATTTACTGTCATCATGACAAAGATAAAATAAATCAGTTATTAGAAATAAGTTTCTTAAACTATTATGCTTAGAAATGTGCTGAAACAATATTCCCTCCATTAAACAGAAATCTAGGAAAAAAATAAACAGGGGCGCTAATAAGTCAGGGGGGCTAATAATTCTGACTTCAACTATATATATATACGGTTCAACACATACCTCGGTTTTTTAACACGGTTTTTGGTGCGGTGCGGTTCTCATGGCTTGACACGTGTTTTTTTTTTTATTCTATAGGCAATAGGAACAATAAGAGGTTAAGGAGAAAAAATATAAACAATTTATTGCAATACTCATCTTGATTTACTTAAAAGCCAAGAAAAGTACAGCAGTTCCTAGTGTATTGTATAAAAAAAATGAACACAGAAATCTTACAGCTGCTGGCCCATGTACAAACTGGTATATATATGTATATGTATATGTATATATATATATATATATATATATATATATATATATATATATATATATATATATATATATATATCAGGGCTCGAAATTGCGACCATTTTGGTCGCATATGCGCCCGAAAATTAATCGATGCGACCTCATAATATATTTGGGCGCATTAGTGCGACCTGTTTTGATTTTTTTTTTAAAAACGTGCTGAATCGCTCTTCCCTGCCGCTATATTGGTTCATATTAGCTGTCAATCACTCAAGGCTTTCCACTGTTAGATGACAGGGAGGGAGCTTTTATGTCCACGGGAAATGCAAACGGCTAAAGTGTGAAAACGTAAAGCACACAGGTTTGCAAAGTGCAAACCCCACCTAAAGTTGAGGCGCAGATGAGAGCGATCATGACACGTGGTGAATATTGATCCGCCAGCTGAGATCAATCGAGTATGTGCTTTTCGGAGAAGGTGGCTGAATCTCGATGTGGTGCATACACTGCGTGTTCAGCGCAAATGTCCGCTAAAAGTCAAATCTAATACTGTATCATCGCCAAAGAAGCTCGCCTTTACTAAGTTTACACTGAAACTACGTCTCATAACAAACAGCGGTATTGCGCCGGTGC